AGAGACGGGGGGCCCGGTCCCTGGCAGAGCGGTAAGGGTGGCACAGGGCGGGGGTGATGCCGACGCACATAAGGGTTTGCCTGCCCCTGGCATTGCTCGGATTGGATCCAGCCTGGCTTTTGTCAAGCCCCGCAAAAATTGCGGGAGGCCCAGCCCGAGCCTGTCTGAAAATCCGGGTGTGCACAGGGCCAGTTGTGTTTTCATACGGATGCAGGGCTGGAGATGTCAAATAGCTCAACAGTGCTGAGGGAGGGAGGACTGCATCTACTCAACCGGGGGTCTGACCCCGGAGGGGGTTGCAAGAAGGTTTCAGGGGGGCTGCCAAGCATGGTGAGCAGTAGATTCCCTTAGAAAGGGAAAGCCTTGCTATAAGGGACTGCACTCTGGGACCCTGAGCCCCACCACCCATGGCTGAGGCCAAAGCCTGAGCAACTCAGGCCAGATCTACGCTCGAGTTGCTGGAGCTGGTTTACCTTAAGCCGAGCTTGGTGGTGTCCCCACAGCGGGAGGCCCATAGGAGCAAAGGCTCCCATCAGCTTCCCTTGTATCTCTCAAAAGGGGGTGTACAGGATGCTGGCGGGGGCTCCCTCACAGTTAGATTTAGCAAGACTTAACTAGACTCACAAATCAAACTCCAGAAGATAGATCACGACAGCAGTGACCACCTTTTAGTGTTAGACAAGGTCTTAGTTTTGTAGGGCACTAAGGATTTTCCATGCTAGCTAATAAAGTGAAACGTTTGTTATCCGGCACTCTGTTAACCAGGAAACTTTGTTAAGTTTGAGGGCATTGCCCTCAGCCACAATACTGTCACGTCTTCAGGCGGACAGACCTGGCTTGGTTTACCATGATTGGCTTAACAATTTGTTATTTAAGTAGTACTAATCATCTTTAACTCAAAATAGAAACGTGAGATCAACTGCCTCACATTACAAAACTACCAATATTAAGTTTTACTATTATTGTCCATTGTTTTTTCCTAGGTTGATGGGGACCCCCAGATAATCAGAATTTTTAGATAACCAGAACGCCCTAATCCCCGAGTGTGCCGGATAACACAGGTTTTACTGTACTTAATTCTCTTCCTGGCTTTTATATGCCCCTTCTGTCCCCCCAAAAAAACCCAACAAACAGTTGTGGTACAGGTGGGTTGTGATGTTTTTATTGACTGTTGGGAAGGGATTCAGAAAGAAAAAGGTTCAGATCCCCTGCCCTAGACCATCCCTAGCAGATGTTAGTACAACCTGTTCCTAGATACCAATGATGGGGATTCTACAGCCTTCCTGGAAGCCTATTCCAGATCTTTACTCTTGCAGTTAATAAATTTTTTCCTAATATCCAACCTGAACCTCCCTTACTGCAAACTAAGCCAATTATTTTTGTCCAACCATTGGTAGACATGGAGAACCACTTATAGCCGTCCTCTCTATAACAATACTTGAAGACTGTTGTGTTGTTCTCTCAGCTTTCTTTTCTAGATTAGACATGATAAGGTGCCAGGGTGTAGTAGGGATGAAAATTGCATTTAAAATGTTAACCAGTTAAACTATATATTTAACTTATTAAACGGCCCATCTTGTCATGCTGTGGGTGGGGCTGCGGGAGCAGCCCCTTCCCCCACCCCCTCCGCCCCCTGCCTGTGGCGCTGTGGGCCTGGCCAGGCAATGCCTGTTGCATTTCACCATGGGCAGGGGACTACTCTGGCTGGATACCAGTTAACTGGTTACCCCAGTAAACATGCTGGTAAATCAATGCTTTGTGGGTAACTGGTTAACTGATCACCCATTTATATCCCTAGGCAGGGTGTAGATCCTTAGTAACCTCAGCATCACCCTTGAATCCTTAAGGGAGTTGAGCATTCCATCCAACTTGTTGGATGTCCTCTATAGTCACATGTACCTGCTATGCAATATGTATCAGATGCCTGCTACCAAGAGGCATGCTGTGTGGTAAAACTAATTGCCATAAGCCATCTGACATGTTCATAGCCACCTGTGGCATCATCTTGTCTACCATTTGGACCTCTTCAGTGGTTTTTCTTAGCTCTTCTCTATGTTCCTGTTGAAATTTGGAAACCTAGGGAATTATTCTTTCCCATGCCAAAAAACTATATTTAGCAAAAAGGGCCTGTTAATTATACAAAGTTTGGAGAGAGGCAGATAAATAAGTCTTATGCCTGAAAATACCCTGCTCTTAGAGTCCTTATTTTTCAGCATACCTTGGTAGATCAGGTCTTTTCTTAAACCCTCAGAGACTCTGGGGCTGGATGAGTGTAAGTTTTTGATAAATATTTTTCTACTCCCTTTGAAGTAAGGGGAAGCAAACCTTAATGTGTTAGCTGGTTAAGATTATCCCAGTGGATTTGAAAAATAAATACCTATTATCCTAGTCTAGAGAGACTCCTAGCATATAACATGGGCAAGATATGTTGTGTTTAACCCACACTCCCCCTTGGGCTTAATATAACCAGCTATTAGTTCTAAATTGTGTCTATACCTCTACCCTAGGTGCAGCATTGCATTTAAATGGTTAGTGTTCACATTTTTCTAGTCTAGAAGATAGCAAGTAAAGGTTTTTCCTATGTGTATACCATATGACACTTTGAATAAGATTTCCCTTTGTTTCTTATTCTTCCCACAAACCATTTCCTCAATGAAATTCTAGTCTGTTGTCCTGCGAATTGTTGCATGAATGTAAACAACCAAAGATTAGGTCTGTGAACAGATTCTGTGTCTATCATTGCAGGAGTTGGGACGTAAATGTTTCTGTTTGACATACTGTTATTTATTTTTATACTTTGTTACTCTGTGAAACAAATCATTAAACACTCTCAGCTGCATAAATTCTTGTCTAAGCTGTAGGTGTATTTTCTATTTTGAATATAATTTTTAATGTATCTTTGAACAAATTAATGTTTTTACCCTGTTTGATAGAGAAAATTATTATGCTGTGATATCAGTAATTAAAGTGCATTTGATTATCTGCCTCAGTATAATCTTGCTACGTATGTTTTGTCATCAATACCAGATAGTTAAAATTGTTTAAAATATTTTAAATTACTCATTCAATATTATAATAAGAGAATCATGAGGTATTATAAGGTATTATGGTTTTGTGGGTGGCTTTTTCCTTCTGCAATTTCAAAACATAGGGGGAGGTGGTTCTTTTGATTGGAATGTAAGGACATCTGAGTCAGTGGAAAATATTGTAGATTTTAAATATCCAGGAAAATTCTATTTAAGGAAAAAATATGATGATTGTTATTAACGTAAAGGTGAAGGGTTTTTCATTACTTCCCTTCATTTTTATATAGATTATCTGTTTTCCTTTTAAAATACTTTAAATTCCATGTACCACTAAAGAGGAAATAGACTTATAAACACTTTCCAGTATGTTCATTCTTTGTAAATGTTACATAGTATAAGGAAAATTAGAAAATCAAGGTAGAAAGGATAGAGCAGCTGTACTGTGCTGAGATGTGATTGGATCTATCAGGCTAAATACCAGAATTAAAATCTGAATTCTGGGCTTTGCTGCATGGTCTTAGCCAGTTGGCCCACTAAGCACTTGGGCACCCTTATGCTTACTGTCTCACCTGCCTTGTTTTAAGGGAATACGATTCCCAGTGAAATGAGTGTAATAGATTACTCCACTTGTAAATTTTGCCCCGTCTACCATTTGAAAAGTGGGACTAAATCTCAGAATTAGTTAATGGTTGTATTGGAGTATTAAAAGCCCTATACTGTATAGGCTAAGCATTACTGTGTCTGTACAGCATCACATTTTTGTTTATTAAACCCAGAAGATCATACTGTATGTTTTCAATGCAAAGACTCAAGATTCACAGTGTAACATTTCAGTGGAAAGAATTAATTTATTTTATGGGGGGCAATATTAATTGGCTATTTTACCTTTAGTTCAAGTAAAAAAATGTATATATCTGGAAAATAACCTGGAAAAAATATGAGCATTTCAGTACTTTTTCTAGAAGAGTAGGCTTGGCTGGCTTTTACATTTTTTATGGTTTTTTGTAATATGTATTATTTGATTGTTCTGTAAGCTTGAAATACTGTGGATTTTGAACTTTACCCATAAGCAATACTTGGTCTGGATAAACAAAGTGGAGGATGTAATAGTAAAATTATTTTTTGTGACACAAAAGAGGGAGCATTTAAGGATATATTTGCTATATAGTCTTTGCCATATAAACGTGTTCATATCACTTTTCATTTGATGTCTCTTTTCAGATTAAGAACTATAAAGTGATCCTAATGAGTCTTTTCCAGTTTACCACTAGAAGGCTGGTTTCACAAGCATATTGTGGACTTAAGCCACCTTCTTCCAAGAAACAACGAATTTGCTTAGAAATGGCTCGTTTTAAATCAAGTAAGATACATTTGTTCCCATATTTGTTTCTGTACATTGTCCAGGCAAATATTTTGTAAATTTTCTCTTTGCTTTGAGTTTTCAGCCTCTTCAAGTTGAGCAGCATTGTTGTAGACACAAAGTACTGAGCAAAATAAATGTCCTAACCTAGAGAGAGTATATTGTACAAATGGGGGCTACGTCTACACTGGCCCCTTTTCCAGAAGGGGCATGTAAATTTCACGAGTCGTCGTAGGGAAATCCGCGGGGGATTTAAATATCCCCCGCGGCATTTAAATAAAAATGTCCGCCGCTTTTTTCCGGCTTTTAAAAAAGCCAGAAAAGAGCGTCTAGACTGGCCCCAATCCTCCGGAAAAAGTGCCCTTTTCCGGAGGCTCTTATTCTTACAAGTAAGAATAAGAATAAGAAGTAAGAATAAGAGCCTCCAGAAAAGGGCACTTTTTCCGGAGGATCGGGGCCAGTCTAGACGCTCTTTTCCGGCTTTTTTAAAAGCCGGAAAAAAGCGGCGGACATTTTTATTTAAATGCCGCGGGGGATATTTAAATCCCCCACGGATTTCCCTACGACGACTCGTGAAATTTACATGCCCCTTCCGGAAAAGGGGCCAGTGTAGACGTAGCCGGGGTGTATAATGGCTGCACATACTTCTTTTTAAAGATTGCAAGACTCAAATCACCAGTCACCTTTGCTGAATCATTTTTGGCTCTGAGATAGACGTATCAGTTCTCTGCCTCAGAGAACATTGGAAGCCTGACATCTGGTATCCTTAGAAGAGTTATGGGAAATTAATGTTTGCACATTCCTTGCGTTTCTGTATCTTTTTAACCCTAACGTTTGCAAACAGGTCAGATCAGTCGTCCTGTGGATGCAAGCTAGAAGTTTTTAAAAGTTTTGTGTTTGAGTGCAAAAATATCCAATGAAAAATATTATAAATTGTATGTGTTTTTACATTTTGAACTCAAATGACTGAAAAGTTTTTAAAAAAATCCTTCTAGGCTTAGACCTAGTATGAGAAATTTCAGCCTTCAAGGTAACCTGTCAAAGTGAAAAGTGTCTCATAATGGGTGTTTGCAACGGAAATTTAGTCTCAACATGAATATGGCATCACTACAGCTGTAATAATGAAGAGGAGAATGATAATTGAATAAAGCTTCAATTTGAAAATTCACAGGCTTTAATAATCACAGTCTATATTTTGGTTTGAAAGTGAGCTTCTTGGAAAGACAAGTATTTAAGAGGGAAAGTGTGGCTGTGAAGCTGTTAGTTTTGGATTTTTTTTAAAATTGTTAAAAGTCACCTCTGCAATCATGCTGAATGATTGCCAAGTTCCTGGCATAGTTAGGGGTCAAAATGGCTATTCCCGTTAACATGTCTTATTTCAATATTTATAAAATAGGAAATATATTTGTATCACTGTTAGGGATGTAATTGTATAGTCAATTAACTGATTAATCGATAAGCAAAAGCTTATAGGTTAATGCTGTAGACTGCACACATTTCCCCCCACCCCTTGCCAGTAAATTTTTTAGCAGGCTGGCCAGCAGCCCAGCTCAGTCCTGGCTTGCACTGGCTCCTGGACCTACTCCCCTGCAGCTCTGCATTTAAAGTATATAAGAAGCCAGGCCAGCTTAGTTACGACTTGTGCCAGGTCCAGGAGTCCAGATCCATCCCACTCCAGACAGGGGCTGCCCAGGGACTATTCAATAGTCAACTAACCGATAAGAATTCATTATGTTAATTGACTGTTCAGTTAACCGATATTTAACATCCCTAGTCACTGTATATTTTTGTTTATATATTTAGATTTGTCTTGCATATTCATAGTGAAATTTACTTCCCAGCTTCTACACTACAAGGTTTCTGCAGGAGTTGAGTTAGTAAAACCACTCCCACCAACTCACAAGCAGGGTGCATTGGTAATGCTACAGCTGTTCAAATCCCCACGGGGTAATCTACATGAAAATATTATATTTAAAGATTTAACTTCGAAAGATCTTGCTTAATACACTGGACTGTAGTAGAAAAATACAATTAGTCAGGTATCCGCCTCCACAGTCTCCTAGAAGGTATATGGTCTGGTTTAAATTGTGTGAATTTGGGCAGATAACTTAACAGCTTTCAAATTACAGGGATGCCGTTGACATACAACTCAAATTTCATTCTGAAATATCTTGTTTGCTATAATTCAAAGCCATATCTAAACTCAGAGGCAAGTATAATACCACAAGCTATAATTACTGATTTTTACACTAACTAGATTTTCAGTTCATGTTTTTGTTTTAATTAGCATGAGGTTTGAAGAATTTTAAGGTGGTTGTATCACAGTTCGGGGGCAACTGTGGCTGTACAGATTGAACTTCTCTTAACCTAGACTCTCTGGTCTGGCAACATCCCTGGTCTGGCAGGACTGGATTTCCCAGGACCAGAGAGTCCTGGTGGAGGTCTGGTGGCTGGGAACCCGACAGCAGGGCTAGTGCCCAGTAGTGGGGGCTGCCCTGTGGCACCAAAGCCACGAGCCCAACAGTAGGATTGCCATCCAGTGCTGACATTGCAGCGGGGGGGCAGGAAGCAGCAGGACTGGAGCCCAGCAGCAAAATTGCCCAGTGAGACAGAGAGGTAGTGGGGCCGCCTGGCAGCACAACCAGGAGCTGAGCGGCCCTGGTACCACCAGACAATGCAGCAGGACTGGGAAGCAGCGTGGCTGCCCCGTGGGGCCGGGAGCCTGACCGCGGGGCTACCTGGGAGTGGGGCTGCCTGGTGGCACAGCAAAAAGCCTGGGAGCTCTGCTGCTGGCCAGCAGAGCTGCCTGCATAATTGGACCCCAGCAGGGGGGCTGCCCTGCGGGGATGGAGCCTGGCACTGGGGTTGTGCATGCTGTGGCGGGGGGCCAGGCGCCCTGCGTGTGGAGGGGCTGGCAGCAGGGGGAAGCCAGCTGGGAGGCTGGCAGTGAGGCCATTGCTGGGGGTGCTTGTGACAGGGGTGGGCTCGGAAGTGACCTTCCTTCGTCCATCAAAATCCCTCATCCAGGATCAGTCAGTTCCCAAGGGTGCCGGACGAAGGAGTCCAACCTGTATTTCCCCTCAGTGTCCAGCAAGGACATTCACTCACAGGCTTTCATCTCCCCAGCTGTTGTCTTTCTGGATGAAGACTTGCATCTTTCTTCCTCCTGATCAGGCTCTACAGTTTCACTGTGTATTCACTGTGTTACTCCCAGCCCAGACAGGTTGTCCAAGAACACCTGCTTTCTCCTCCAAGATGGCTAACACTTCATAATTGTCACAATTATACCTATCACACGACACTTCCCATGCAAGACTACTTTATTCTTACAGTAAAAAACATTACAGATAAAACATAACTAATAAAAGAACCTATGTGCATTCTAATAAGCTAACTAGTCATCACCCCAACTCTAACAGCGGCTGTGCGAGGAGCAGTCCTTCAGTCACAGGACTTCCTTTGTGATCACAACTTTATCAGAGCCATAGTTCAGAGTTAGCACCTGTTCTTATGGAGCCTTAATAGGCTCAGTTTCTTTAACTGTATCCTAAGGATCAGGGTGCTGTGTGGACTAGGGCATTTTGATTCTCAACCTTTCCAGAGTACTGTACTTCTTTCAGGAGCCTGATTTGTCTTGCATACCCCGAAGTTTCACCTCACTTAAAAACTGCTTGCTTACAAAATAAGACATAAAAATATTAACTTGTTATAGCACACCATTACTAAAAAATTGCTGACTTTCTCATTTTATCTGTATGAAATTTTAGTTTGTATTGACTTTTCAGTGAAACAAGACAAATATCTAGATGAGTTGATGGACCCTCTGAAAGACCTCTATGTACCCTCAGAGGCATGTGAACTCCTAGTTAAGAACCACTGGACTAGAGGTCCAGTCTGTTTGTGGCACCAGGAAAAGGCCCTGAGCCTGTTGAAACCCAGTCTGCTTATCCAGTCATTTCATTGCCTGTTGGTCCTTGGAGAAACCAATTTGAAATAGTACATGCAGACCTCTCAAGAGAGGTGAGGGAGGGGTGACTTCAAAGCGGGGAGGATGTACATTAGCAGCACCCTCCTATTAGAGAAGATACATACAATGCCACAATAACATATACACAATTGCATTTTTAATCTAATGTAACCCAAGTGTATTAACCTTAACTAAAACTTTACTGAATTAAGTTAAACTTTGTTCTCTTAATTTCCTAAGCTTGGTTCAGAATATTGCCAGCCTGTCACATGTTGGTTGAAAGGGGTTTATATATAACTAGAAATTACAGCAATTTGGGATTATTATTGTAGGCCTGTTAATTCTATCATAGTAAGTTTTATTTAAGGCTTCATTCTTCCAAACTTTTAACATATGTACTTAATTTCATCCACATAAGTAGTTCCCTTCCATAAATGTTTACAGGATCCAGGGTTAAAAAATTTTCTTATTGATAATACATCTAATTTTGATCTACAGAACATAATAGAGATTCTAAAATTAAGTGTGGCAGTCTTGTTCAAGAGCAGCATTTGTGTTTGTATGCCTGTTGTGATATATCTGAATGATTTAAATTGTATTTAAAAATGAAAACTAGTGGATCAATTATTGTTAATTTTTCCCATTACATTTAGATATGGCTGATTTTCGAGAAGTGTTTGCCAAAGCAAAGCACATAGCCATTATTACAGGGGCTGGTGTTAGTGCTGAAAGCGGTGTTCCTACCTTCAGAGGTGCAGGGGGCTACTGGAGAAAATGGCAAGCTCAGGTATGTAGTTGGGCTAGACCTTTGAGTTACTATTAATCCTTTACTTCAAGTGTGCCATTACCATGAGTCAGAAGCAGCTAGCTGTTTTAAAGGATTGCAGAGCCCCACAGTGCTTCAATAGTGACACAGTGTCTCCTTCGCCATCTCTGCAGCTTCTTTCCTACACTCCACTGTGGTAGCCTCGTGCAGCTGCAACTTCTCCTTTTCCCTAGTCAGCACAACAGTCTTAGATATCTTGAGATATTTAGGAGGCTGTCTTGCTGCTTCCCTGCTTGCTTTTTCCCCCAAGGCACCTCCTCCTTTCTGAATTCAGAAAAACATGAAAAAAGGGATGAAGGACACTACCGAGTACTGTTTTTTGTTTATTAACTTGTTTGATTAACTAAAGCTTGAAAATGTCTTGATAATTTTGTCTGCTACTCTCTGCCAACTTCCTATTGCACTCTGCTGTCTCTGCTCCTCCTTTGGCTCAAAATTAACTAGCTTTCATGTTCCCTTTCCTATATTTGCACTATTATAATCAGTTTTATGTGTGTGTATGTTTAAGATAGCGCTCATGAAAGATTTGATTCTTTTGGAAACTAGAGCAGCTGTGCTGTTATCCAGTTACAAGTGTATGTTTACTGTGCCAGTATTTCGTTCATTAATTATGCATTTGAATACAGTCTATTTATATAATTTTTTTTAATGAGAGAACTTTGACATATTAATATTCAGTCTTTATGTAGCATTGCAAGTATTTAGTTCAGATGGATTTATTTGAATGAGCTCTCTCCCCCTATCTTTTAAATAAGAAAACTGAATGTAAAACCCATATTAATGTAGAATTATGGCTGAGATTTTAAAGGTACAGGAGACAAAATATAAGTTGCCATCAGAATAAAAGCCTGTTGTTTGACTATGTTATGTTATACATAAGAATTGAAATTACTGGTAGTATAAAATATACCAGGCAAAGATGCCTAGTTTTATGGCCACTTTAATGCATATAAAATACTAACTATGATGTTGCAGCTAATTTCCTTGTTTCCCATTTGTTTGTGCATCTAGAGGAAGCTTGGTGGGGCACTGTAGAATAAGCTCTGAGAGCACAGTATGAAAGTACAGAATTCTGGATAATACAGTAAAATTATATGAAACTTTGATGAATGGCATTGCTGCATAAAATACGGTATTTATAGATCCACAGTTATAAGGCCAAATGGAACCATTCTAATCATCTAGTCAGGCCTGCTGTATTACACTGACTTGTCATGCTACTATAAAATAAGAACGACTGATTCTGGCTATTGACTTGTATTCTTGTTAGCTATAGGTGGTTACAAATAATCTATTGTTATTATCTTGTATTTTAAATAACTTACATGTGACTATATCCACTATCACAGGGGTGGGAAAGACAGTGTCTTTGGGCTGGATCCAGGCTGCCAAGCCTTTTGATCTGGCCCACAGTTGCCCTCAGGCCAATCAACGTCTGTGAGTAGGGAAGCATGTAAAGTCTCCTGGCCCCAGCCCCTCAGCCAAGTGCCCGCTCGTTCTGGGGCAGCCTGCAACCACTTCCGAAATTTATGAAGTGCCCACCTCTGTACTATCCGATTGTTTTGCTTTTATTACTAATGAATGATTGCTCCTCTCCACCCCCCTCAGGAACTGGCTACCCCAGAAGCCTTTGCAAGGAACTCCTCCCGTGTGTGGGAATTTTATCATTACCGCCGGGAGCTGATGTTGAGTAAACAACCGAATGCAGCACATGTTGCCATTGCAGAGTGTGAAGCTAGACTGAGCAAACAGGGAAGAAGTGTTGTGGTCATAACTCAGAACATTGATGAGCTCCACAGAAGGGCAGGCACAAAACACCTCTTAGAAATTCATGGTTAGTATTAATGCATGTGTATGCTGGAACTGATCAGAAGATGGAGAGGAGAGTTTATACTGAAATCGTTGAACATTTCAGTGAAACCAATTGAAAAGCCAAAAACATTTTTTATTCAGAAATGCCACCAGGATTTCACATGGCCCAGTTCTCCTTTATGGGTCTGGCTTCCTGGCTGGATTACGTTTCATATTACACATTGTGGCCAAGGCATCCTGTGATACACTGGGGCTGCTCAGCAAGAGAGGACACCAGGATGTAGCATGTAGTCTGGGATGAGACACCCGAACTATTGCACACGAGAGGTGTTGCTGTGGCTTTTCAAAATCAAATGTTAGGTGTTTGAGTGTTAGATGAAAACTAGGGAAAGCGGAGACTTTTTCACATAAACACACGTTTTGTTGGAAACCCAATTTTCTGTCAGATACTTTAGATGGAAATTTCAACTAGTCTATTGCATGCACATACTCTGGCCAACTGTTGCTGAACTTGTAATCATCCACTATCTCTCTTCCCTTTATTGTTTGCTGGTTAATTTTTTATGCTGATGATGGTACTGGAACTTTCTCCTTGTATATCTCAGATCCACTTGGTTGAATATACTTGAGCAAAAAAAAAGCTCAGTTCTGTTCTAAAGGGTAGGAATTACAATTTTCTGAGTTTTCCAGTTATTAAGCAGGGATAATGCATCAGAGCATGTTGTGCACTTATTCTGATGAGCAGGGCTTGACAAGCGGCAGCGAGCCCCGCTCGCCAGCCACACGGTTTGGCATGCTGTGCATGCGCAGACTGCGCTGCGCATGCATTGATCGTGCTGCGGTGCCGTGCCAGGCTAAAATGTACTCGCCACGGTCAAGTAGATTGCCCTCATTGTTGAGCCCTGCTGATAAGTATAGTTTAGTTTTGATTATAATTAATTTTTACAGAATGTACCATAGTATATTATGAAGTCTTGGTAATATCAAACCTCTATATTATTTGCTAATAATTATTTGGAAAGTCAGCAGTATGTGCAAATTACAAAGTATGTGTTTTAATACACTTCTCCTGTACTGAGAGGGAAATGCTACAATCATAAGTAGGGATGTGAATGACTAGTTGACTATCCGATAAGCAATAGCTAGTCGACTAGTCGCTCCACCCCTCCCACCCCCCTTGCTACCTCCATCAGAAAGAGGCAGCAAGGGAGGAGGGAAAGGGGAGGAGGGCTTCAAAGCGGTAGCGCCACATGGAGCCTGAAGCCAGACCCTGGGCTCCACATGGCACTGCCACTTTGAAAAAAACGCGTGCAGCCCGGGGCCAGCTGGGGTGTCCACAGGCTGCATGCAGCATTTCAAAGAAGCATCACCACATGGATCCCAGGATCAGCTGGGGACTCCCCCGCTGACCCGGGCTCTGTGCAGTGCTGCTGCTTTGAAACACTGTGGGGAGCACGAGACCGGTGGGGGACTTCCCTGCTAAACCACATGACATAAGTCACATTCTAGTAGAGGGACCAGTTCTCTGGTTCAGCATGGCAGTTGCTATTTAACTTTTGCTCCTGCCTTTACCATACTGGCTTTGTGAATAAATATGCCATTGGTTTCCTTGACTGCCAATCAGAAATGTTTTATTTACATACTAACTAATTCACGATGCTGTCAATCTGGAGTTTATTAGTTCTGTTTTCCTATAAATTAAACTGCTGACAAGGAATATTCAAATAAAGGAATGCTTGGGATGGATATAACTGTTTGCATGCATAGCTGCGGGTGAAAGGCATTGTTCAATATTAAAATCTGGAGATTTTGCTTTTCAGGTAGTTTATTCAAAACCCGATGCACCAGCTGTGGAAATGTGGCAAAGAATTACAAAAGTCCAATATGTCCAGCTTTGTCTGGGAAAGGGTAATACATTATGAAACCTATACACTCTCTTTTTCAGTTTGATATTTATTTATTATCTTTATCAGCGTAGATCTTTTCAGAGCTGGGCTGTGTTTTAGACAGATGTCTCTTATTTACCTCAGGGAAATATTGTTTAAAGCCCATATGATGCTTTGAAAACATAGGATATAGAGATATGAAATATTTACCTGTTCCAGTTAACCAATGGTGGCTGGAACAGCTTCCCACCTGCTTCAGGCAAGGGTCTGCTTCAGCTCTGTGGGGCCTGCCATGGACAGGGACATGTCAGGCCATCCATAGCAACGCCTGTTCACAGTGGGCCCATGCATGTTGCAGGCAGAGGCTACTCCGGCTGTCCAGCATTGCTCATGTCCTCCAGGGCAGGAGGCTGACAATGTGGGGGGAGAAGGAGTCAGAGTTGGTAGTTGGGGAAGGGCTTGGAGCAGAGTGCTGGGGAGGTGCGGGAGTCAGGGATGAGGGGGGTGAGGACAAAAGGTTGGGATGTAGGAGTCAGAGCAATCAGTTCAAAGAAAGGGAGCTCAGAGCAGGGGTGTGGAGTGGCCACTGGCTTCTCCCCAGGGCAGGGGAATAAGGTGCCTTACCTGGGCTAGGCCTGCACTCGGTCTGCTGGCTTCTCCCTGAGGCAGTCCCGGAGTGGGGGGGCATGCAGCCTACCTGATAGCTTATCGCTGGGGTCAGCCTGGGACAGAAGGGCTACACACCCTGCCTCTTCTCTACAGAGTTGGCCCAGAGTGGGGGGAAAGGTGGGCTGCACACCCCACCCGCTGGCTTCATCTCAGTGTTGTAGTAGATATATTTATTTCCTTCAGTTACAGAACCACCTTGATTTGATAGAATGCTTTGGAGACATGTATTTTACTTGTAACAGCATTTTGTTCTTCACTTAAACTGTTTTTTTATTTTATTTTGTGACTTCAGTGCCCCAGACCCTGAAATGGAAGATGCCAAGATTCCAGTTGAAAATCTTCCTCGGTGAGTTTTGACATTCATCTCTTTTCACCATTCCAACATGTTCCCCCTCAGATTTCAGAGGTACTTTGAAAGGATACCTCTACAAATAGGTGTTAATATTATTTCACAGCATCACAGGAATGTGAAAGCAGTTTACAAAATCAGAAAGACACAGTACAAGTTACACTACAGAATTATATCACATGATAGACTGTGTCACTCAGGGACTTGAAAAATTCACACCCCTGAGTGAGAGAGTTACAGTAATTCCTCACTTAACACGTGCCCACTTAACACATTTTCACGATAGCACAATTTTTTTTTAGGGAACATTTTTCAAACAATATGACCCCGTCCCTGCAATAACACGATTTCCCCTAGGGGTGTCCGGCAGCTGTGTGAGGCTTCCCCTGCCTTCCTGCAAAGCGGCAGAGGTTTGCTGCTCGCCACGCCGTTCTCCGGTGACCCCCTCTGGCCGGACGCAAGGCATCTGGCCAGGGGGGGTTACTGGGTAACGGCAAACCTCTGTTGCTTTGTAAGGAGGCAGAGGAAGCCCCGGGCAGCTGCCGGTGACCAGCCATCTGGGGAAACCCAGCCGCTGGCTGCAAGTCCCCTCCCCTGTCCTTCTCTAGAGCCAAACACCTCCCCACCCGGCTATAACCCAGTCCCCTTTCTCCCCCAACCTTATGTCCCGGTCCCAGCTGCTAACAAGTGCAGGCTGGAGCTGCAAGCACATGTGCGCTTAAAACACAACCCCCACTTTGCCATTATTTTCAATGGGAAAATTGACCCCGCATAACACATTTTCACTTAGCACGATCATTTTCTGAAACGTATCTACCGTGTTAAATGAGGAATTACTGCATATCAAGCTAATTCCCCCCCTCCCCAGACTACACAGTGCTATGTTGGCAGGAGAGTTTGTCCCACTAACCTAGCTACTGCCTCTTGCAGAGGTGGATTAACTAAGCTGATAGATGCTCTGCTGTCAGCATAGGACTGTCTTTGCTTAAATGCTGTGATGGTGCAGCTGCTGTGTTGTAAGTGTAGACCTGTCCTTAATGCCAAAGATCTTAAATGTAACATAACATTACAAGAGAGAGCTGACAAAGGCAATGTGGAGTAGAGATTGCAATGACGAAAAATAGATTGCTTATTTATCTGTGTAAGCATCTAGTAAAGACAAGTCTAAGCTAGTGGATCTTTTAGGGAGTAGAGAGAGAACAATGGTAACAAGCAGCTAAGTACTACAGGATAAGTTGCTGTTTATTCAGTAGCTAGCACTCTTTCTTCTAAGGCAGTATCTGATACTATGCTTGGAGTATGTTCCCTCTAATTTTTCCCATTCATGTGCAGAATAAATTGTGTAATGTGCACCAAGGCGTGTGTGGATGTGCACGACCCCTAGAAACACATGCTGCTAGGTGTGGGAGCTCTGCTAATCATCTAGGTGGCATTTATATTTGTCCTGGGTGGCTGACAAAGTGCTCAACTTAGAGGGAACACTGGCTTAGAGATGTCAGGGTATCTTGTGACCATTAAAAATCCAGTGGCACTTTTTGTGGCAGTCCACAATTTATTGCACTTGACTATGATTTTTTTTTCATTTCTTGCATTAGACTGTTGGAGAGCATCTCTCAGTCTTGTTAAATAGTTTCTGTACTTCACCCAGAGATACAGTTGTGTTGTATAATAGAGGATGTGGTCTCTGTATATGGCAATTAAGATGATGTGGTCCTCTTGCAGTTGAAATAGGTCTGTCTTTAATGTTTTTAACAAATCAATCCAAGGCTCAAAATCACTTTGAGGGTTCCATCTCCTTCTATTGTAACTTTTCACAGGTGTGAAGAGGAAGACTGCAATGGTCTTCTCCGTCCCCATGTTGTGTGGTTTGGTGAAACTCTGGATTCTGACATTCTTACAGAGGTGGAAAAAGAACTTGAGATCTGTGACCTCTGTTTGGTGGTAAGAAATGCTTTGGTTTCTTTTTTTTATCAAGCAAGCTCAAATTAAGAAATCGCATCTCTCCGAGTTTGGAAATGTAGAAACAGCCATGAAACAGTTTCAGTAAAATATAATGCACTAAAATAAAGTCTCATTATGAAAATGTAGTCTTAGGTTTGAGAGTTTAAACATGTGAGGGAAGAATTTGAGTTGAAATAAATGCAGCAGTGTTAACTTGGCCACATTGCATTATAATAAGGTTACATGTTGATTGCACAAGCAGTAGTTGAAAGTACTTCTGCACTATGGCCAACCTAATATTGCTTAGCTTTTGAAAAAAAAAATCACACTTCTGACAGTTTAGGGCTTATTTGTTTTTTAAATATAACTGGTTAAACCAGCTCCATGCACTTTTTGTTTAGAGAACCTCCATGCATTCATCAGATACTTCTGTTCAGCAGTGTATTACCATGTCAAAGGACGAACTCCTTCATTAACCCAGGGCATGTTAGTTCTTGCATATTTTCTTAAATTGCAAGAGAATTCTGTCTTTAATTGTCTTTTTATTAAATTGTTTGTACCTGCTTGTTACAATTAATACCCACAGTTCCTTCCAATGAAAGAGATTAGAGTAACAGGTTATTTTTTAAATATGTTTTTGTTTTACTTTTGCGTACTAGATAATTTCATGGAGGTTAGGTCCATCAATGGCTATTAGCCAGGTGTCCCTAGCCTTTGTTTGTTAGAGGCTAGAAATGGATGACAGGAGAGGGATCACTTGATGATTACGGTGTTCTGTTCACTCCCTCTGGGGTATCTGGTGCTGGCCACTATTGGAAGACAGAATATTGGGCTAGATGGACCTTTGGTCTGACCAAGTATGGTCGCTCTTATTTGATTGAACTTTGTAAATGGTCATCTGAATAGAGCCAATTTTTCACCTATTTGCATGGGTTTTTCATATAGCTAAATGGAGAGAAAAATATTTCAGAACAGAGGGAAGTATCTGAAAAATTCCAAAAGTTGGCAGGAAGAGAAAGGGACAAGTATAGTACCTGGAACTATTTTGCTTTTTTCTTTAATTGAATGTGACCCTATAATGTGTGTTTATATTCTCAACTTTAATATTGAATTTATTCTAAATGAGGAAGAAAATAGATAAAACATCTTCACAATGTTAGCACAATATGTGCTGGTAATGAGTCACAATTTTTCTTGAAGTTGCCTCTTCCATATCCATATTCTTCCAAATTCAGCTTCATAATTTGCTTTTTAATTTCAGTGTTTTACATGTTCAAAGCTCTTTGAGTATTAATCTCCACAGTAGCCCTAAAAAGTAGGGGGAGGCGGCTTTCCCTATTTGTTAAGCATTTTTTTAGGTTGTGTCCTGTTAGGATTTCCCTTATTTATTTCCTTGCCAGTGGCCTGACTTCTGGTGGCTTCTTCCCTCTCCTCAATCACAAATGTTTGGAAATGGATTATTTTAGAACTAGTAATCACCACACCAGTGTCAACTAGAGGGACTGCAGAGCAAAGTTGGATGTTATTTTTACTTCTTTCCAGTCTTGAGGAGCACCGCATTTAGACCTCTTATCCCTTAGGTTTTGGCAGGTTGCACTGATCAGGCCATATCAACACGTGTAGACTTGTATTGTACGGTTGAATGTGCATTAGTTGTTTAGCAAATATTCAGGTACAGTCATTCAAGGTGTTTGAAGATACTGGATTTTTTAAATGCTGGTTTGGTGCTGTTTTGTTTTTCTTGTAGGTGGGAACCTCTTCTGTGGTATATCCTGCTGCTATGTTTGCTCCTCAAGTATCTGCAAGAGGAGTGCCAGTTGCAGAATTTAACATGCAAACCACCCCTGCCACAGATAAGTTCAGGTAAAACTAGTCATATTTTAGGCAGAAGGGAGGGAGCCACATTAATGTAAATGATTTCTTATGTTGTGCTGTTGAATGTCTACAATAGTGGTGTACAAACTTTTCCTATTCCATTCCCCTTACTAATAATGCAGTGGTCTCCAACCTTTTTACACCCAAGATCACCTTTTAAATGTCAGGGTAAGCCAGGATCTACCCCATCTCTTCCCCAAGACCCCACACCTTTCTTGAGGCCCTGCCCACTCCAAACCTTTCCACAGACTACCCATTGCTAATGGAAACTCAGTTAATTACATAACTACACCAGCCATTTTGCTAGTGCTGCAAGTGGGGAGAACAGTTTAATTTAAATTATTAAACAGATTAAATGTTTTAACTTTCTCATGTTAGTTTATCAAACTTTATTTTAAATAAAGTAAAATATTAATTTATATCCAACACAAAAGGTTTCAATGTTTTCTTTGTGGGGGTGGGGAACCTTTTTGGGTTGGGGACATCACTGACCCACAAAAAAAAAAACAGCTGGGGACCATGCAAGTAAGAAGCAAAAAAAATAAAAACTCCCCAAACCCCAACTCAGACACATCACTGTTCTGGCACTTCAGCCCCCACGGGGTGAGGGGAAGGGACAAGGAGGACTGAGGTTCAGGGCTTCCCATAGGACAGATTAACTTTTCTGGGGTTCTGGTGTACCCTCACTATTTTCTCTAACCCTTCCACACTGTAGGGACACACACCTTTACCCAGTTCCTAGAGCTCAAGGTGCAACCCTGTTAATTTACACACCCACCCTTACCCAATTCCTAGGGCTCAGGGTGCACCTTCCTGCAGGTTTTGCAGGATCTTTAGCCACTGAAAGAGCCTCACACAGTAATATCCTTATCCTCTATTTATTGACAATTCCTAAACAAGCAGAATACACATCCTAAGCGCACAGGGTCATGCTCACCAATCCTGATAAAGGCAGGCAGACTTCCCCTGTTGGCCAGGCAAGGTCAGTCTCTCTGGATCTTAGCTGCTGCACATCTCGGTGTGCAGGAGAGTCCTGGCAGTTCTTATCTTAGGCTGGGTCTTGGAAGTGAGTTCTTCTTGGGGTTCCTTGTCTCTCTTTGGTCTTCTTTCTGCTTTTACTACTTCTGATCTTCTTTCCTGATCTCCTTCTTGGACCCCAGTTTAATATAATGAAATCTAAGTCTTGCTTAGCTACACCTTAAAATTATACTAAAATAATTGGTTACTAACCAGTCATAACAAAATTACCTAACCAATCATACCTCACCACCTTAATTGATTTACACCTAGCAAAATTAATTATACAACAGACAGAAACAATTACAAACCAGATACAAACCAGACAGAGATCATACCGACAAACAATAGGAAATTGTAATGACAATGATCATAGAATGAGGATTCCACAACATTCTCTATTGATAAGCAGTTTCTTGCCAGACAGAATGATGTTACTTAAGTTTTCTTTACCCATCTTGAGATCTGTTTCTTTATCTGGTGACAGTAGGGAAGCTATCAGGGCAAAGTCCCCTCTTCACAGCCTTCTGACACTTTTTTATACAAAATAGATGGAATGTGAGTATGTGACTCCAGGCCTTACATTTAATAGCTGCTACTCTTCAGTCTGGCTGCAGAAGGAGGCTTTGGTTCAGGCCTAGCACAGACCTTCCAACATGGCTACAGAAAAGCCATATTGTTACACCAGAGTTAGTGGATTTTGTAGACCCCGTTAGACTCTGGGGTGGGAACAAAAATGAGGGGCTCAGTGTGCAGGACAGGGCTGCTATCGAGAGGGATAGGGATGCAGGATCTGGGTGGGAAGTGGGGTGCAGGACGGGGTGAAGAGGGCAGGGTCTGGAAGGGAGTTTGGTGGCAGGAGAGAGTGTGGGGTGGATGTATGAGAGGAAGTTTGGGAGCAGGAGGAGGCTGGGGGAGTAATCCAGAAAAGGTGAGAGGGTCAGAATGCAGTCACATAAAAAGGGTGGTGGGGGGGGGGGGGGGCAAAGAAATGGGGAATAAAGGAAAGTGTAGTTTCTATACAGTAAAATTGAATCCCCCCCCACATCTTCCCTCTGCTCCATGATCCTCCTCCTGCCAGCCTGATCCCCTGCATTGCCCCATGCCTCTCAGTGCAACTCCTGCCCCCTCCCATCCTGCCCCTGCAGCATGCTCCCTTGGCCCCTCCCCACTCTACCCCTGCATCCTCCTTTGCCACCCTCTTGCCCTCACATCCCTGTGCCCCCAACACACTCACCAGCAGGGTAGCAGCACTGGGACTTGCAGCCTCCTGAGAGTAGCACTGGGATTGGGGGGGCAAAGTCTCTGCCCAGCCCAGCCCTTTCCTTACAGGCAGTGGCTCCAGGGCTGGCACCAGCCTGGCTGAGCGCAACAGGGCACTGAGGAAGGGGCTTCCCGACCCTGCACATGGCCCACAGGGAGCAGTGTGGTCCCCAGCATGCCATGTGTGCTGGTGGTCCAGCCCTGCCCCCTCCTGGAGCAGGAGACAAGAGCGGGGGGGGGGGGGGGGGGAAATTCACACATCCCCCCCCACAACCGCCAGCAAGTTAATAAAGATTTCATCCAGCCCAGCTGGCCACAGCTTGCAGCCCACTGAGGTTGTGCCAAGCTCCAGCTGGCTGGATCAAAGAGCGGCAGCTTGACAGGATAGTTGGTCCCGGCAATGGACTCTTAGGTGCACTGTAATCAACTGGTTGATCATGACTGCAGTAATGGGATCTGCCTTCTCTCCCTCCCCAATTAGTGCAAAGCCAAGGCTTCATCAACAGAGGATCTTGAGATGGGGGCAGACTTTAGGATGCGGGAGGAGCTGAATCTAGAGGTGGCTTTGGCTTGAGAAGGAAGAGAGGATGGGGATGAAGCTGGGTTGGAGGGCAGGACAGAGCTGGGTTGCGGGGTAAGTGGAACAGGTCTGGAGGCAGAGTGGGAGCTAGGTTCAAGTTCCCCCTCTGTCCCCTGTGGTGATTGGCTCTTGCTCCACTGCCTCACCAAATGCTCCTCCACATTGTGATACAGTGGGTGCTACTCACTGTTTGGGAAACACTGATTTAGAAAATGTTAGACAATGGCATTTCCTAGCTCTTTTTGGAAAAATTAAAAAAAACTGCCTAAAGTTGTATAGAGATGGGGTGACAAAGGATTCATAATTCTGTATCAGTCAGATCAGGAGTGGACAGTAATTTTTTGAAGGGGAGGAGCCTTTTTATAGCATTAGTTGAGGGGACTCATGCCTCCCCTGTGGCTCCCAGGCATCACATTAGTGGGGGCGGGAGCTGTAACCCATTTCCTGGCAGCTGCAGGGAAGGTGCGAGTCCTTTATATAGAAGCAATTGAAATAGCTTGTGTGTCCCAGCTTCCAGGCAATGGGTTAGGGACTGTGGCCAGGAACTGCCACATGGGTTGGATAAAAGAGCTAGGTGGGCTGCATCTGGCCCGCTGACAGGCTCTTGCCCACCCCTGATTCAGACTGTAACACATTCTCTTGTTTTACTTTAAATACCAGTTTATTGAAAATACAAAAACTGTGACATTGCAGTCAATTTACTTAATCAGGTTGAATTGTTTGCTGCTTAAACAACTGTTGTTAAAACAGGTGCTCTTTGCTCTGGAGTCTGTGTGGAGAAATTAACCCTTGAAGTGACATGATAAAGTGCAGAAACAAGATCGAGCAAAGTGTATGAAGGGCAAACATGCAGTGGTGGTAATTTGTATTGTAAATGATTGCTAGTAAGTTCTCCATCTAATCACTTTTCTCCTAATCATTCTGATTTCTGTTTCAGATTTCACTTTCCAGGTCCCTGTGGTACAACCCTGCCTCCAGCGCTTGCTCGCCATAAAACTGAAATAATTTCATAAGCATGCGGCTGCGACAGGGAGGGGAAGAAATGCTCTTACTGAGACGCTCAAGCCGCACGCGCGAGGGTGAACTGGAGCAGTCCTGTGGAAGAAACCTTAACCTGTCCCACAGAGACGCGAGCTTTGGCCCAACGACCCCAATCACGGAAATCCTCCTCCTGGGCCCGTGAGGGCTGCGACGGGGCCGGGAGACGGGCGGAGACGCTGGACTGTGGAAGGCGGGAAGGTCGATGCTGACACCTGCCAGGCTGCCAGCGGCTCCGCTGCCCT